CATTTGCGGAAAAGAGCGTCTAGATTGGCATGGACGCTTTTCCGCAAAAGCACTTTTTGCGGAAAATGTTCGTGCCAATCTAGACGTGGTTTTGCGCAAGGAAGTCCCGATCGCCATTTTCGCCATAAGGGTTTTTTGCGCAGAACAATACCGCATTGTCTACACTGGCATTTGCTCAAGAGGGCTTTTGCCTGAACGGGAGCAGCATAGCATTTCCGCAAGAAAACTGACAATCTTACATGAGATCGTCAGTGTTCTTACAGAAATTCAAGCAGCTGGCAAGTTTTTCCGAAAAGGCGGCTGTTTTTGTGAAAAACCTTGCCAGTCTAGATGCAGCCATAGGCTGCGTCTACACTGGCACAATCTTGTGTAAAAGCGGCTACTCTTGCGCAAAAACTTGCTGCCTGTCTACACTGGCCGCATGTTCTTGCTGAAGTAAACTGACGTTCTAATGAATAAAATCAGAGCTTCTTGCACCAGAACTCTGATGCTCCTGCTCAGGAATAAGCCCTTTTGTGCAACTGTTCTTACGCAAGAGGCCAGTGTAGAAAGGCAACATGAATTTCTTGCACAAAAAAGCCCTATGATTAAAATGGCCATCAGAGCGTTCTTGCGCAAGAGAGCGTCTACACTGGCATGGATGCTCTTGCGCAAAAGCACATGCCAGTGTAGACGCCTTCTTGTGGAAGAGTTTTTGCACAAGAAGCTGCCAGTGTAGACGTAGCCAAGCTTATGTCTTAAAAGCTTCAGAGGAGTAGTCGAGTTAGTCTGTAACAGGAAAAACTTAAAAAACAACAAATAGTCTAGTAGCACCTTAAAGACTAACAAAACATCTCCAGGTTTTGTTAGTCTTTAAGGTGCTACTAGACTATTTGTTGTTTTTTAAGTTTTTCCTGTTACAGACTAACTCGACTACTCCTCTGAAGCTTTTAAGACATAAGCTTGGCTACGTCTACACTGGCAGCCTTTTTTGGCAAAAATCTTCCGTTCTTGCTGAAGTAAACTGACGTTCTAATGAATAAAATCAGAGCTTCTTGCACCAGAACTCTGATGCTCCTGCTCAGGAATAAGCCCTTTTGTGCAACTGTTCTTACGCAAGAGGCCAGTGTAGAAAGGCAACATGAATTTCTTGCACAAAAAAGCCCTATGATTAAAATGGCCATCAGAGCATTCTTGCGCAAGAGAGCGTCTACACTGGCATGGATGCTCTTGCGCAAAAGCACATGCCAGTGTAGATGCTCTTTTCTGGAAGAGCTCTTGCACAAGAAGCTGCCAGTATAGACGTAGCCATAGATGGGATCATGAGCTTTTGTGGAAACAGCCCACTTCTTCAGATGACCGGAGTTCTGAGTTTGGGATATGAAAACTCGAAATCAATAGGAGAGGGGAAGAGGAGCGGGGAGAGAAAGACCAAGGGAGGGGGTGGGAGACAGGGCATCAGTAAGTATTTGGAGACTGGGTACTTAAACCTAAGCAGATAAAAATCAAAGTCAATAGACAGATTCCCATGACAGGATTTTCTATGTTCTAGCCAGGAGGAGAGGATGGAATATGGTAAAGTGTGGGTCAGCTCAGATGACAAACAATCAAATGAAAAAGAGTCTAACACATCAGGAAATACTTTAAAAAACCCCACAACTAATAGTCTAGCAGCACCTTAAAGACTAACAAAACACGTCGATGGGATGAGCTTTCATGGGCACAGCCCACTTCTTCAGATGAAAGTGAGTTGTGCTCACGAAAGCCCATGGTCCCATCTACGGCTATGTCTACCCTCGCAGCTTCTTGCGTGAGTAATATGCAAATGAGGCTAAGCGTGGACTATCGCCGAGTCTCATTTGCATACCTAATGAGCCACCATTTTTTTCAGAAGAGGCTCTTGCGTAAGAAGGAGCTGTCTACACTGCCCCTTCTTGCGCAAGAAAAACCCTCTTGTGCAAGGCCGTTCTTCCTGAAAAGTAATAGGTGTAACGGCATTTCACAACGGCAGTGTAGATGCTCCTGCTTGCGCAAGAGCCTCTTCTGAAAAAAATGGGGGCTCATTAGGTAAGCCACACTTAGCCTCATTTGCATATTACTCGCGCAAGAAACTGCGAGTGTTGACATAGCCTACATGTTTTGTTAGTCTTTAGATGTTGCTCGACTATTCATTGGTTTTTAAGTTTTTCCAGTTACAGTCTAACTCGGCTCCCCTTCCGAAGCTTTTTAAAGTGCTCATACACAAACACCAGAAGTTTAAGTAATAAGATGGGTGAACTACAGTGCCTCATACTAAAGGAGGCTATTGATATAATAGACAGCACAAAAACTTGGTGGAATGAGGACAATCAATGGGACATAGTCATACCAGGGTACAAAATACACCGGAAGGATAGAACAGGTCATGCTGGCGGGGGAGGGGGCCTATATGTGAAAGAAAAAGTAGACTCGAATGAAGTAAAAATCTTTAATGAACCAAACGGTTCCATAGAATCTCTATGGGTAGTAATTCCATGCTCCAATAATAAGGATATAGCCAGGACTGGCTTTAGCAAGTGCGGGGCCTGATTCCAGAGAATTGGCCAAATCGCCCTAAAGCCAGCCCTGGATATAGCTGTAGGGATATATTATCGACACCTCACCAGGACAGTGACATGTTAAGGGAGATTAGAGAGGCTATTCAAATAAAAAACGCAATGATAGCGGAGAATTTCAGCTATCCCCATATTGACTGGGTACAGTCACCTCAGGACAGGATGCAGAGATAAATTTCCCTAGCATGGCTCTGTAGCATTGAGAACATCACAGCGCCCCCTAGTGCCCTTCTGTAGCATTGGGAAAAGCACAGCTCCCCCTAGTGCCCCTCTGTAGCATTGGGACAGCACAGCGCCCCCTAGTGCCCTTCTGTAGCATTGGGAACAGCACAGCTCCCCCTAGTGCCCCTCTGTAGCATTGGGACAGCACAGCGCCCCCTAGTGCCCTTCTGTAGCATTGGGAACAGCACAGCTCCCCCTAGTGCCCCTCTGTAGCATTGGGACAGCACAGCACCCCCTAGTGCCCCTCTGTAGCATTGGGACAGCACAGCACCCCCTAGTGCCCCTCTGTAGCATTGGGACAGCACAGCGCCCCCTAGTGCCCCTCTGTAGCAGTGGGAACAGCACAGCGCCCCCTAGTGCCCCTCTTTAGCATTGGGAACCCCCCCCCCAGGGGAATAAAACACTGGACACCACATGGATTTGTAAAATACATTTTATTTCCTTCAGAATAGAAAGTCTGCTGGGTTAAAGTAATTAAACAGTTGGCAACTCATGTAACAATGACACACAAGGAAACCGACCTAGTCTTGGAGTTAATACAGCGCTCCTGATATGTTCACTAGTTTAATTCTACCTGGGAGCAGGGTGGGCTAAGCCAGGGGCACCATTTGGTCCTGTGACACACGCACACGCACACACACGATACCGAAAAGTTACAGAGCTATTCTGAGTTGCAATTATTTTGTATTTTCTCCCCTATGTACATAGAGTCCAAGCACGGCAAGTGTATACGCGACTTAGCATAAATAAAGGGAGGCCGGGGCAGTGCTTGTACAAAGCTCTGGGAGCAGAAAGCCAAGGGAGGGCCGATGGAAATGAAATCCATTTTGGTCTGAGGGTGGGGGATTCTGTTTTTTCCAACAAAAGGCAGACGCTGAAGCAGAACTAAATTGTGAATTTTCTGGCACAATGAAAATGGGGGGGGGGAGGTTTGGAGGTCAATGGAAACTTTCAGTTTTAATTTCAGCTTTTTTTCCCTAGTTCATTTTGTTTGTTGGGTGTAGAGACAGCAGCGTCTCACGTAAGACACGGGGAGCAACTGGCCCGCACGGGAGGGGCCAAAGATGGAACATGGGGGCCAGTTTGGGGCGCAGCCCTTTCAGGAAGGTGGGGGCAAACTGGAGAGCCCAGGGGAGAGGCAGGAGTGCCAGAACCAGGGGGAGGGGTGCCATGACTCCTTAGTTTTATACCCAATATAAGGGTATGAGATGGGGGAAGGGAAGCAGGAGCAAGTAGGGTCTTGGAGGGAAGAGGTGGCCTGGGAGCAGGGCCCTGGGGGAAAGGGTGGCATGAAGGGCTCATGGAGAAGGGGCGGGGCTCAGGAGGAAGGGATGGGGCCATGGTTCAGACACCAGTGGCCCCCCATTTTTAGATAGCCTCCGCCACTCCTCGTGAGAGCCAGAGAAAGGATCAGAGGTTTAGCAACGTGACCGCTGAGGAGAGGTTAATTAACAGCCTGTTTAGTCTAGAGGAGGCTGAGGGGGGACCTGAGAACAGTCTGCAGTCATGCTAGAAAGAGGATGGCCATCGATTCTTCTCCCTGTCCACTGGAGGCAGGACAAGACCCAATGAGTTTAATCTGCAGCAAAGGAGTTTTTGGTCAGACATTGGGACACGCTCCCTAACGCTCCAGGGAGTTCAGCTCCGGACTCGGTTTCCAAGTGCAGATGTGAACTCCCTGCCATTCGAGGGGTTCGCAAGCTACCTGACGGGGATGATACAGGTTTACATGGGGAATGCGGGCAGACGCCTACCTCGTCGGATCCCCTGAAGCACAACATCCTTATGTTCCTTTTCACCCTGCCCTGGTGTGGTTCCTGTCCCTGCCAGGGCTCTACGAAGTAGCCATAATATTACACCCGAGCCTCGAGCGCTGTGTTTTATTTTACAGCTAATCACGTCCCACCATCTAATCAATGCCCAGAGCCGGTTGCCTGGAAGGGTTAACCAGGTTAGGGGGAGGTTTCTAGGCAGTGTTAAGTGCTGGTTAGAGGGTTGACTTGTTAGTTTCGGCTTTTTAGTTCTTTTCTATCACCAGGCAAATATCTGTAAAAAAATGACACTAAAGATAAATGGCCATTTTTTTCCAATGTTCCCCACCCCGGATGGCTGGTGCCGACGGATCTAAGAATCCCTGTGGATTGGTCCCAGGCCATGAGCTCCGGCACGTCCCAGTGGGGAACAGAGATTCCGGCTGCGGGTTTTTTGGACACCTGATTTACGTGCGAGCTGCCCAGCAATTCCCCCTGACATGGCTGTCGGTCGGATGGGTGGCTTTCTCCTGACCTAGCGATACCAACGCAAAGCCCAGCTATCCTAGCACGGAGGGGGTTACGCTGCTGGAACGGGGCCTTATGCCAGGATCGCGTTGCCCCCTTCCTGCCTGGGGATTCCTAAGCAAGTTCAGGCTGCAGATGAGTCTTCATGCAGTGGGAAATGACGTTGTTCCTTCAGCACGGGGGAATTCGAAGAAGGACTGGGCGGCTTTAGGGAGTATCTGGGCCCGTTGTGAATGGGGCTCCCCAGGGCCATCTAGGCAAGGGCTTGCGTGGCCCCTAGAAAGACAGCTCCACCGGGTAATTAATGATTCAGTGGTTGAGCCTCCCAATCAGGTCTGAATTTAGCCTCCCCAAAGCCAAGGAAGCGCTGGAGTTCTGAGCTGCTTTGGGCACAGGGGAATGAAGAGATCACGGGGAAACGGAGGCGCACAGCCAGCCCCTAGGACACAGGGTCACGCAAAATCAGCAGAACAGGCGGGATTTGAACCCTAGGCCCCCAGACAAGGCTAGATCCACATACCCAGCCCTCTGGCTGTTAAAGAAGGGGATACAGCCCTGCTCAGACGGACAGGGTGAGACACTCCCTGATTGCAAGGGGTGAGGTTTCCATGGCAGAGGGCACGTCTTGCCATTAGTGGGCATGGCAGGACCTGCGCGCTGCATGGGGTCGATCCTGGAGGGCAGGGTTTCCATAATGGGGGCGTGTCTGTGATTTGGGGGCACAGACGGGTCCGGATTCTGGTGGGTGCGGTTTCCATGGCAGAGGGCGTCACTGCGCTGGGAATGAAGGTGCTCACTTGACACGGATCTCGGCATACTCCGCTAGTTCCTCCGTCAGGGTGTAGCTGTCCTTGGTGGCCAGTTTGGTGAAGTCGATGTTGGCATAATCCACATTCAGGTCCAGGGAGCCCTCAGGCTTGTTCAGGAGGTGTTTGTCAGAGGCCAGGCGCCGCTCATACTGCGAGGGAAGCAGAGCAGCATCAGCCTGGGTACGACTGGTGTGTTCACCTGTGGAACTCCCTGCCACTGGATAGGACAAGATTAACGTTCAAGGTTCCCTGCCACTGGATATTATAGGCCTCCACTTCGACTTCCTGACACTGAATATTTACTCAGAGGAGTCTCTCCTATTGATGTTATATGGTTAACTCACATACTTTGAGGAGGATACTTTGGGGGTATCCAGTCCAATAACACCAGGGTTTATCTGGGATACTCACTGCCACTTGATCTTACTGTGATTTGCCTATGGGAACTTATTGGCATTCACCTGGGGAACTTCTAGCTGCAGGACCCTTTCCAAAGGAGGCATTCCCAGCCAAAGCTCTCCCAGGCAAGGGGCACTGAGCACATGAGGACTGTCCCTTGGGGACGGGAGGGGGAGGCTGTGGAAATTGTACAGCACAAAAAGACGAGACCACAGAGTGAGCAGAGGTAAAAACGAAAACACCACGACACTGCCAGGGACACACGTAAGGAGCTGCTGGTACTTGAGACCCAGGCCCCGCCCCCCAGCTGGCCTCTCAAAAGTGAGACCTACCCAAGCAACAGGGTAGAAACCAGAACTGGCAGCGCCCCCTAGGGGAAAACCCTTGGGTCCCATTCCCTGCCCAGCCAGTCCCCTGCATGACTGTGGGGTGCAGGGGGAGCCCCATGCCTGAGCCGAGGTGTGACGCACACTGGTGGGGGTGACGCAGACTGGGGAGTCCAGACTTACCCGGTGGGTCAGTGGCTCTCCAGGGAGCAGATTTCCTTAGACTAGTGGAGAAGGAAGAGCCGTCACTGAGTATCTGGGGGGGCACCTCTAACGCGGCAGCTCCAGGGCCCTTTCTGGGTTTGGGGTACAAAGGCTGGAAGAGTCCCTTCCCCCACCCTATGAGCCAACCCATCCCCCCAGAGGAGACAGGCCCCCGTGGCCTGTTCCCACCCCCGGGGCCTGCCCGTCTGGGCTAGATGTTCTGTCCAGCTATGGACACGAAGGGCACGTTGGCACGGCAGCGTTATTCGAAATAGCAAGGGGTGTGTGCTCACAGCAAGCCCGTGATTTCGAAATGACTTGGAAAGAGCAGGCTTCTGATTCCGGAATAATAACCCTCACCCACGAGGAATAACGCCCATTTCGGCAGAGCGGGAGTGGGGATGTCCCTGTTTCGAAATAGCTCCTCCCAGGGCCCCTCAAAGTCATGACTCCCCAGTGCCTCTCGGGGCTCTGAGCTGAGGTAGCGCGTCATTAGGTGAGCCGGCCTCAGATTCATTTCCAGGGTTCCCTGTAATGTGGACGCGCTATTTCGAAATCGTTCTTTCAGGAGTTATTATTCCAAAAATATCCTTGTAGTGCAGACCTACCCTTAGTAGCAACTGCTAGCACTGGAGTGCATAGCCTTCTCTACATTACCCCTATCTATCCCACACCCCTCCTCCGCTGAGCACCCCCCAGCACCCATCCACTGCTGTACACTCCCCTCCACCCCATTCACACCCCTCCACTGCTGTACACTCCCCTCCACCCCATTCACACCCCTCCACTGCTGTACACTCCCCTCCACCCCATTCACACCCCTCCACTGCTGTACACTCCCCTCCACCCCATTCACACCCCTCCACTGCTGTACACTCCCCTCCACCCCATTCACACCCCTCCACTGCTGTACACACCCCTCCACACCCCTCTACTGTTGTACACATCGCTCCATCCATCCACCACTGTGCACACCCCTCCTATGCTGTACACATCGCTCCATCCATCCACCCCTGTGCACAGCCCTTCACCCATGCACCCCCATACCTACATCTCCACCCCCCCATACAGTCCTTTATACACCCCCCACTCTTGCCACCTCCCTGCCCCCCCCTTCCGCTGTGCCAATCCCTGTGTCCCACCTCAGATTTGTCCGGGGGCCGGTATCCTCCGCTGTACGCCACGGGCGGGTTCTCCAGCTGCACGAAGCTGGAGTTCTCGTTCACGTTTTTCCTGGGTAGAGAGAGACAAAGACTCCTCTGTCCCTGGGTCACCCCCTGCAGCGGGCGGGGTGGGGGAGAAATTCCCTGTCCCCAGGCCACCTCTGCTGTAACCAGTTGGACACGACCCCCCTCCTCTCTCTCCACTGGCGTCTAGCTGACTGGACATTCTCCTCTGCTTTCCCCTTTCCCCTACCTCTCCTAGGCTACGTCTAGACTGCCGGCTTCTTTCGGAAGACGCTTTTTTCGGAAGAGAGCTTCCAAAAAAACTTCTTCCAGAAGAGAGCGTCCACACTGCAAGAGTGCATCAAAAAAGCAATCTGCCTTTTCAAAAGAGAGTGTCCAGACTGAATCTCTCCCATGTAAGCCGGGATTGCTATGGACCAGGGCATCTGTGCTTTTTCCTCTTTCCTCTTCTTGCGAAAGAAATCCCTCTTCCCCGTCCACACACGCCTTTTTGCGAAAGAGCTCTTTCACAAAAAGGCTTCTTCCTTGTAGCATGAGGATTACCAATGCCAGAAAACCCCCCTCTGTTCTTTTGATTTTCTTGCGGAAGAACGCAATTGCAGTATGGATGTTCCTCAAGTGTTGTCGGTAAAACGGCTGTTTTTCTGACAAAACTCTGCAGTGTAGACATACTGTGCTCCAATTTATGTTAAGCTCTGTATCATGCCTTTGATATGTTAACCCATATTATTTACATTAGGTCCTTTTGGTATGTCAAACAATCCAATTTACGGTGTGTTTCTGGTTACTCAAGGCTATGAGGGTGGATTTTGCCTAGAAACCATATTGCTGAATGTATGCTTATAAATATGTATGTAACCTGTGGAATGTGTGTGAATGAGAACTACTCAACCAAAAAAGGCAGTTTAGGATCTGTGACCTTTTAAAGCAGACAAAGATTCTGCAGGCAGATAAATTAACTAAGAGGCAGTGAGAAAATCTCTCTCTCTTTTGGACAAGATGTAACATCACCGCAGAAACCTGGGACCGGCCCAGAAAAAGTAAAGTCTCCTGCAGATCCGAAGGGCTCTCCCAGGAACATCATGGCCAGCGCTCCAGCCACCAGCAAAATCAAAAGTGATCTACACCGCGCTTGCAGCCTGCTTCCGAACTGCCAACGTGAGTGTGATGTGTGTGTGTGAGCATCACCGTACTCCAGGGCTACTCAACTTTGGAAGCCCCAGGGGCCACAATGATACTCACAGCACATGCCCAGGGCCGCAACTTAAGTATGATTGCATGTACATGCAAATATATATGCAAATATATGCAAATAACTTCTTTCACACTGACAGGCATGAATACAAAGATTAAGGCAAAACTACACAAGACACAGGCCCCATTTAAATCAGTTGTGCTGATATTAATAAAAATCTGTATTTACCTGATTTCCACCCATATGACAGGACTTTTAATGAGCAATGACAGTCCAGGAATTTAACTACTAAAACGCATAGCAACAGAAGACCATTTTACTGATTCCTTTTTTGTTTTGGCTGTGTGTTGAGTAGCCCTGGCTTATTCTTAAGAATCTGTACCAACCCCTAAAGCAACACTGCTCCAGACCACCCTTTGAGCGGGGTGGGTCCTCAGCAACTCTGAGGAAGTGCAACACCCGCAGCACCCCCGTGTGGCCTCACATAACGGATCACTCAATTAACAGTCTGCATTGAGTCACCGCAGCTGCCTTAATGACATAATTAATAAAGATCTTCATTATGCCCGGTAGCAATCTGTCCTTGGAATGACCCTGCACATGCAGTTCAATCAAGGGGGTGCGCACGTTCATAGGAGCTGGAAGATTTTTTTCCCCAAGCAGCCACCCACAGGGTGGGCCTGAGCGGCTCTTTGGGGGGCACTTGCATGGTGCCCAAGATAGAGTCCTGCCGACTTGCCCTCTCCCCCGTTCCTCGTCACCGCCAGGAGCTGGAATGTCTAGGTGCCTGCCTTCCGCACGGGCGCGAGCAGCCAGCCCTTCGAACGTGCTGCACATCGATAGCAGCTTCTATAGCAGGCCTGGGCAAAATACGGCCCGCGGGCCGCATCCGGCCCACCAAGCCACCGGCTCCGGCCCACGGAGGCAGCGGGGAGCCCTCGGCAGGCTCCCTACTTAGCCCCACATGCCAGGCAGGAATGTGGCTGCAGGGCTCCCTTTCTATTTTAAAACTGGAGGGGAAGGGGGAAGTTTTAAGAGCCACTCCACCCCCCAGCACATTCCCATTGGCCGTTTTCTGGCAGAAACCAGCCAATGGGAGCTGCTTGTTGAACTAACAGGCAGCTAAGAAGAATCACGCCCCCTCTCCTGGGCTCAGTTATTCATGAAGCACATGGCCAGGTTGGCTGGCAGGCTGGGAACATTTTAAGCTCTGCAGGCAGGCAGGCTAGTTTGGCAGCTGGCAAGTAAGTCTCTTGGCCACAGCCTGCTTCTGGCACCCCAGCCCTTTCCGGCCCAACTCTCTGCCCCCCACAACATACCCAAACCCTCTGTCCCCCTCTTACACCCATACCCCCTCCCAAATCTGGCACCCCAATCTCCTGCCCCAGATCACAGTCCCATCCTACCCTAGGTCCCATCCCAAACTCCTGCACTCCAGTCCCCTGCCCTAGGTCACAACCGCCTGCTTCATCCCAACTCTCCCTCCCAGACTCCAAAGACACGACGTCAAGGCACCGAGCTGCTGCGCAGAGAGCCCCAGCGCGGGCCCTGAACTCAGTCCCCGGTGCCCGAGAAAAAGAAGAGTGAAGGCAGGGGCCGCTCTCCCACTGCTAGACACAGGGAGCCGACCAGAGCGAGACCCGAGCCGGGCCGCGCCCCGGCACCGTACCACCGCGAGATCGCACGTCGACTCCTGCCAGGCGGGGGACTCCACGACCTCCCTCGTCACCGCGGCCGAACAGGGAGCTGCAGCCGGAGTCGTTCTGTGTCGCGCAGTATCTAACACGCCACGGCACCGCGCTCCCCTGCGAGGTGGGACGCAGCCCCGAGAGCGGCAGTCGCTCAGCCTCCATCCCGTGGCGGACACGCCCCCCGGGCCCCAGCCGCAGCCCTCAGGAAGCCCCAACCGTGACCCCTCAGTGGGCAGACGTACGGCGCCTCTTGCCGGTTGGCGTTGGGGTCAGTCCAACTCTTCACGTCCTGTAGGAGCGGAAGGAGCAGGAGGTCCTTCTCGAGAAGGGATCACCGCCCTCAGCCAGGCTAGCCCAGTGGGACCGACCACGCAGTGGCCCTTCCGAACACCCTGGGCTTCCCAGCAAAGCCAGGTCTGGCTCTCCATTCCCACTTCAGGGCAACGTCTGGGGCATCACTGTCCTCCATTCCCGTGTGACTCCATCAGCACTGGGGTCTCCATCGGCAGCACCGTGCCTGCAGACCCAGGCGTTATATTTTCAGCACCGGTTCTGGCACCAACACAGCTAAGCTCTGCTCCGGCGCCCTTCAGAGTCCCAGGCCCGGCTCCAGGGTTTGCAGCCCTGGCTACCGTGGTCGTATCGACCCCGAGAGTGCAGGAGGACCTGGGGCAGATGACTCCATTCCAGGCCCCCAGGCCCGCTCTGGGCCCTGCATCAGTGCCTGGGTCCTTCACCCGCAGTCACGCCCCAGAGGTCCCTCCATTGGTGCCACCTCTTCATCATCGTGCCAGACGAAGGGCTGGCGGGCGCAACAGAGCTGGTGGTCGATGCAGCCAGCGGTCGCATGGCTACCTGCATGCTTGTGGCGCCGTGCGCCAGGCTACGGCTCAGACCGCTCCCGTTTTGGCTGGCGTCAGCATCCCGGCCAGGAAGAGACAGTCTGGTCGTGATATCAACCCTCCTCCCTTCTGTGGGGGATGGACGCTCGGGTACTTTGCTCAGGAGTCCTCATTGTGACCCAACCCCCATCCCTGTCCCTTGTGACGGACGCCATGGATAGGGCTTGGGGATTTAAGAACGCACGGTCTCTGGGACCCTTCCGACTTGTGTCTGGGAGCTGAGGGCCATCGGGCCTCCCTGCCTGGCTTCCCACCCCACCTAGAGGGGCGCCGTGTAGCAGTCAGCACAGACAGTCCACTGGCAATTGTATATCAACACTCAGGGGTGCACCTGCCTCTCCCTGGGCCCAGGCGCCCTCGTGCTGTGGGGGGACGTCTGTACAGAACTTCCCACGTGCCTGCCGGCGTCACCCCTGTGGGGCTGCGGAATGGGCTGAGGGACCGTCTCAGCGGGGCCGTTCACAGTCACGAGTGGCCGCTACGCCCAGGCGTTGCCGCATCAGTTTTCCGTAGCAGGGCCCACCCCAGACAGACCTTTTCGCCAGGCGCCTCAACGAGTCCCCTCAGTGCTGCTGCGTGAGCCCAGGCCCCATCGCGGGCGCAGTCCACCTCCACAGGGGGATTCTCTCCGACAGGCCTCGCCGCCCATCCTGCTTGGGCATGAAGCGCATCGAAGTCTCGTCGCTCCGGCTTGGGGCCGCCAGCACTGACAGGGCCCCGGCCAGACGTGGCGGGGGAGACCCCGGTTTCACTCCCTCTCTTCCAGAACCTTCGCTCACAAGACCCAGGTCCCCGATGCCACCCACAACCGGGAGCGCCCCCCTCCCCGTGCTGAACCCTTCGGACCAGGTGAGGCAAATCCTCGTAGGCAGCAGACAACCCTCCGCAAGGCCCACTCACGCTGCGCGATGGTCCCGGCAGCAGGGCTCCCAGCCGAGCGACGCCCAAATTCCGGCCACTTTAGAGCACGTGCCTCACCTCAGACAACGGGGCCTGGCGACTGTGTCTGTCGGGGGCCACCTTGCGCTCCGTCCTGGGATGCTTGGACCAACCCCATGGCCGGGTGCATCCTGACAGGCCTAGCAAGGCCTTTATCCTGACAGGCCTGGGGTCTTAATCTAGTGTTGTCCAGACTGACGGTTCTTCATTGAGCCTCTGGCTTCCTGTCCCCCACTTCCCTTTCCTACAAGGCAGCGTCCTTAGTAGCAATTACATCAGCCAGGAGGGCCTCTGGGCTCCGGGCTCTTGTGTCTGGTCCATCCTCTATGGCTTTCCATAAGGATAACGTGCAACTCTGACCCCGTCAGGCACCCTCCCCAAGAGGGTCTCACAGCTCCCATGAACCAGGACATATTCCTGCCGGGGTCTGACCCCAATGCGAGGGAGCAGAGTCTATGCTCCTAGATGTTCGCAGGGCGCTGGCGTTCTATGGAGACCGAGCAAAACCGTTCGGCAGCTCAGCTATTCCCTGCGGTGGCAGAAAGGGCAGCTTGCATCCGCTCCATGCACGTCCTCCTGGCTAGCGTCCTGTGTGGCGGCGACCGGTCGTCTGCTCACACCCCCTCCGCTCATCACGCCGAGCTAGAGACACGCAGCGTTTGGCTGACCTCCGACTCCGCCTAACGAGTCACCTGCTGGCAATACACCAGCACAGCATGTCGCGGAGAACAAGTTATGAAAGTTATGTCGCCATTTTCTCCTTCTGTATCAGACCGTGGGTAATTCATTTCCCATCACTACCTGCCCACCATTGGGCATCATTAACAGCTAATGCCCTAGACTGGTCACTAGGCAGCTGTTAATTGCCAAACACTGATCAGTATTGGTGCTTCATTAATGATGCCGTTAGCCAGGAATTATAAATGCCATTTAACCAGCCAGTATTGGTTACCCATCGGGGTGTAAATGTTCATTCTCCTATGAAAATATTCCTGAGTTTTAAGTGAGGAATAGTCGTGTGTGTTGATTGTTATTCGTCTTCCTTTATGAGGTCTAAAAATTCGCCCTTCCCCTGCCAAAATTGCCCTTCCCTGCGCTCAGCAACGGGAATGCTTTGGAAAGGACCGAGTGAATGACCCTTATTTCGATGCAGAGACATGTGACTGTGACCCAGCACAGAGCACCCTCCATTTCAAACCAGACTGGATGTGAGCAGACACTGGGTGAGGCCTGTCAGGCCGGGCTTTGGTGCAGGGAGCATTTAACTCAGCCGTTGCTCAGAACGGCCGCTCTCCAGTTGAGGGCCGTTCTGCATCGGACCGACGCTCTGGGATCCAGTCTGGTTCGGGCCTGGATTTGTACCCCGCGCCGATGTCCCCCTGCTCCTAGGACGTGCATTCAATGTGACAGCTGAGCCCCAGTGGGCTCCGGACTTACTTTTTCCGCGTCTGACTCACATAACACACGCCAGCGATGAGAATCGCAAAGGCCACCACGGCGCCCACCGGGCCCACCTTCGCCCACATCAGGTTGTCTGAAAGCAGCACGTGGCCGGGGTTAGTCACAGGGAATCTTGGCCTTTCCCAGCAGGGGGCACTGTGGGGAGCAGGGCAGAGGGCCTGCTTGTGGGGAGAGCTCATGGCTGTGCCAGCCCTAGCTGATCCCAGCAGGGGGTGTTGTGGGGAGCGGGGCAGAGGCCCTGCTTGTGGGGGGAGTTCATGGCTGTGCCAGCCCTAGCTGATCCCAGCAGGGGGTGTTGTGGGGAGCGGGGCAGAGGCCCTGGCCAGGGGGGGGAGCGCCTGGCTGCCCCCACCCTAGCTACTCCCAGCAGGGAGCGCCGTGGGGCACAGGGCAGAGGACCTGGCCATGGGGGAAGCGCCTGGCTGCCCTAGCTGCTCCCAGTAGGGGGTGCTGTGGGGCAGAGGGCAGAGGACCTGGCCATGGGAGAAGCACCTGGCTGCCCTAGCTGCTCCCAGCAGGGGGCGCTGTGGGGCACAGAGCAGAGGATCTGGCCATGGGGGAAGCGCCTGGCTGCCCTAGCTGCTCCCAGCTGGAGGCGCCGTGGGGTGCAGGCGGACACTCACTGGTGTGGTGGAACTGGAGCTGCTGGTTCTTGGTGCCGTACAGGTTGCGGGCGGAGCAGACGATGAAGAGCTGTGAGTCCGGCTCCCCACGCAGCGTCAGGATGCTGGTGACCGTGTAGCCCGTCTTCTGGGAGTAGACAAACTCCTGGTCGGTCTCGTTAACCGTCACGTTCCGGGTGGGCAGCTCGAAGGAGATCACGGGCTCCGGGTTGGCCAGCACAGCGCAGTTCGACTCCACCAGGATTATGGGTGCGACTGTGGGGGGAGACGCAGCATCAGCATTAGGCAGCTGCAGCCACCTCTGGGGCAGAACAGCGGGGAAAGAGCCGCAGAGCAACGCTGCACAAGGACGGCTCTCCTGACAGTGAGATGCAGCCACTTATGGGGAGGGGCAGGTTGGGAATAGCCAGAGAACACGGCATGAAGACAGCCTGCCCCAGAGCTGCGTGAGATGCAGCCTCGTCTGGGGAACAGCAGCCCATAAAGCTGCATGGGAACAGTTTGCCTGGGGCTGAAATGCAACCAGCTCTGGGGTGGGGCAGCTGGGGAACAGCTGCATGTAACGCAGCCCAAGAATGGTGCATCTAGTGCTGAGATGCAGCCACCTCTGGGGTGGGGCAGCTGGGGAACAGCTGCATGTAACGCAGCCCAAGAATGGTGCATCTAGTGCTGAGATGCAGCCACCTCTGGGGTGAGGCAGTGGGGGGGGGACCGAGCCCCCATGGGGGGGACTCACACTCCACGGTGAGGTTGAAGGCAGAGCTGCGCTGGCCGCGTGGCCACGATCTGCTTCTCCTTGAAGATGGTGATGATGGGCTCTGGGTTGCTCTCTGTGGTGCACACGATGGTCACCGGCTCACCTTCCACTGCCACCACCGAAGAGTTCACTAACGGCTTCCGCGGGGCGTCTGCAGGGGGGAGGAGACCAGGGGTTCACTGACCCACGGAGCCAGAACTTTAACCACTAGGCCCCTCTCCCACCCAGAGCCAGGAGAGAACTCAGGCGTCCCCCTGCCCTGACCACTAGCCCCCCCTCTCTCCCCTCTGCCCCAGGCCAGAGGCACTCACACATGACGGTGAGGGCCAGCGAGCGGTTCCCCCGTCCGTACAAGTTCTCGGCCACGCAGGTATAGATCCCATCCTGCTCGTGGGTCACGTTGTGAAGCTCCAGTGTCAGATTGGTGGCCGGCTCTTCCCGCAGCACCACCTCCTCTCTGAACCACGCCAGCAAGGCCAGGGGGCTGCTATCTACCACGCACGTCAGCACCACCTGTGAGCCCTCTGTTAGTTCCAAGGATGAGTTCACCTGCAGGATCCGGGGCACGTCTGCGGTGCGGGAGGCAGAGCTGAGCATTAGCCTGTGGGACTCCCTGCCACTGGAAGTCAGAAGGGTTAACTTGGGGAACTCCCTGCCACTGGGTATTAGGAGGTCTAGCCCTCCAAACACCCAGCTGCTGGGTTCTAGTGAGGTTAACCCACAGGGCTTCCTGCCACTGCATGGCAGGGGGTTAACCTGGGGGACTCGCTGCCAATGGAGAGCAGCAGGGTTAATCTGCAGGACTCTTCTTGCTCTAAGCACTAGACCCCACTTCCCTCCCAGAGCCAGGGATAGAACCCTCAAGTCAAGTCAACCCAAGGCGCTTACCCATGGCTCCCAGTCTCCCCTGCTCTAACCACTAGCCTCCACACCCCTCCTGACCCCAGGGCCAAAACCCCGCAGGCTGGTGCCAGGTGACTTACACTTGACATCCAGGGTGGCGAAGGCCTCGAAGAGGAAGGTGGTGTTGGGGTAGGTGACCTGGCAGCCCAGTTCTTGTCGGTCGTTCTCCCGCGAGGGCCGAAACTTGAGCAGGGACACCTGGTTCCAGGTGCCACCCTCCTCCTCCAGCTGGCCAAAGACCTCCTGCCCCTCCAGCCCCTCATGGTACAGCCAGGTCACCACTGGCTTCATGGTGGGGCAGTTGTCTGGTACCACGCACCGCAGCTCCACCTCCGTCTCTGCCACCACCTCCTCGGGGGGCACAATGACAGGTTTGTCTGACAAGGGAAGAGGCTGGGTGAGGCCAGGGACATGGGCCCCAACGGGTTAGACCCCACTCCCCTCCCAGAGCCAGGGAGAGAACCCAGGCATTCTGGCTCCCAGTCCCTGCCCCCGCTCTAACTACTAGACCCCACTCCCCACCCCGAGCTGGGAAAAGAACCC